GTATTCCACCATTCTTGAAATGAATGGTAACATTGCATTTGCCTTCCTAACCACAACTGAACCTCTATATCAACTTTAACAGAATCCTGAACTGGGATTCCCAAGTCCCTTGGTGCTTCAAATTTCCAAAGCTTCCACTGTATAGAAAATAGTCTATGCCTCTATTCTTCCTACCAATGTGCATGGACTCACACCTTGCCACATTATGTTCCATCTGCCAATTCTTGGCACACTCTCACCGCTGGTCCAAGACATTCAGCAGACTCCCCACTTCTCCAACGCTACCTGTCCCTCGACCTATCTGTGTGGCTTCTGCAAACTTAGCAATGGTGCCCTCAGTTCCTTCATCCAGATCATTAATGTATAACAGGAATACTCATGGTCCCAACACTGACTGGAACTACACTAGTCACAAGCTTCCACCCTGAAAAAAACCCCTTTAACTCCCACTCTCTGCTTTCTACCAGTGGTCTAATTCTCTACCCATGGCAGTACCTTGTCGCTAATGCCACGGGCTCTTATCTTATTTATTGGCCTCTTGTGCAGCACTTTTTCAAAAACCATCTGGAAATCAAAGGAGATCAAATCCACTGGCTCTCCTTTGTCTAATTTGCTCATTACAGTCCTCAGTATCCAGAACTTAATCAATTTTCATGTCATCTGCAAACATACGAATCAGGCCACCTAAATATTCATCCGTATGTTTTACACAAATTGCAAGCAACAGAGGTCCTAGCATTGATAGGTGCGGAACACCAATGGTCACAGACTTCCAATTAGAGAGACACCCCTCAAAAACTAACCTCTGTCTTTCATGACCAAGTTAACTTTGTAAATATACCAACTCACCATGGATCCCACACGACTTAATCTTCTGGACCATTCTACCATGAGGGAACTTGTCAACTGCTTTAGTAAAGCCCATGTATACAAATCCACTGCCCTAGCCTCATCAAATATCTTTGTCACGTCCTCGAAAAACTCAATCAAATTTGTGAGACAAGGCCACCCTGCACAAAGCCATGCTGACTATTCCTAATAATTCTGTTCTTTTCCAAATGCAAGTGAATTCTGTCCTTAGGAAACTGATCTAATAATTACTCTACAACTGATGTAAGGCTCACCGGCTTATGATTTTCTTGATAATCCCTGTAGCCCTTCTTAAACTAATGAACAACAATGAATACTCTCCAGTGTTCTGTCGCCCTGCCTTTGGTGAAAGAGAATACAAAGATCTCTGTCAAAGCTCCAGAAATCTCCTGCTTTTCCTCCCTCAGTATTTTGGAAGAGATCACACCAGGCTCTGGGGACTTATTTATCTTAAAGTTTTTCAAGATGCCCAACACTTCCTCTTCTTAATACCGACAGGCTGTGGAATTTCAACATATCTATGCTTAATCTTGCTTTCATCCACGTCCTTCTCCTTGGTGAATACCAAGGTGAAGTACTTGTTTGGGGCCTCACCCATTTTCTGTGGCTCCATGCATAAATTCCCTCCTTTCTTCTAGAGTGGACTTACCCTGTCCCTAGCTCCCCTATTGTTCCTTATTTACCTATAATATGCTTTGGGATTTTCCTTAAATCTACTTGCCAAGGAGTGTCAAGGTCCTTTTTAGCCCTCTCAATACCTTGTTGAATTTCGTTCCTGTTTCCTTTATATTTTTCAAAGGGTGCTGTCTGATTTCAGCTTTCTAAACCTTGCATATGCGTCCTGTTTTCTTTTTGACTGAATTTTCAATATCTCTTGTCACCTGGCGTTCCATAATCTTGCCATCCTTGCCTTTTTCTCCCCATAGGAACATGCTGGTCATCAATTCTCATTAACTGGCCTTTGAAAGACTCCCACATATCAGCTGTGAATTTACGCTAAAACAGCTGAGTCCAATCTAACTTCTCCAGTTCCTTCCCAATACTGTTATAATTAGCCTTCGCCCCAATTTAGCACTTACACTCGAGGATCAGACATATCCTTATCCATAACTATCTTAAAATTTATGCAAGTATGATCACTGTTCCCATAATGCACTTGCACTGAAATCTCGATCAACTGGTCAGGCTATTCCAGATACAAGGTCTATTGTAACCTCTTCCCCAGTTGGACTATCTACATCTTGTTTCAAGAAACCCTCCTAGATGTTCCTAACAAACTCTGCCATGTCTAAGCACTAGGGAGTCCTCGTCACAATGGGGAAAGTTAAGGTCCCCCACTACAATAATCCTTTTGCTTTTAAATTTTGCCACGATCTTCTTACATAGCTGTTCCTCTGTCCCCACGCTGGCTTTTGGAAGGTCTATAATATAACCCCACCATAGTGATTACACTTTTCTTATTCCTTAATTGTATTCATATGGACTCACTGGATGACCCCTCCAACATGCCCTCATTCAGTGCAATTGTAACATTCTCCTTAATTTGTAGTGTAACTTCCCCACATCTTTTGCATCTTTGCATTTCCTGCTTGCATCGTCTAGGTCCCGAAAATTTGAGTTACCAGTCCTGCCCTTGTGTCAACCAAGTTCTGTAATAGATATAAAATCATAGTTCCATGCACCAGTCCCGGCTCTATGCTCATCTACCTTACCTGAATACTCTTTGCATAGAAATAAATATACCTCAGATCGCCAGTGCCGTCATGTTCATTAATGTGACCCTGCTAGACACGGACAGGAAAGAAACATTGGGTATAATGTGTGATCGAAAAGACTGGAAATGACATTCAATTGCCCCATTCCCAAGGCTGCACTGAGATGACACATTTGGTTTGTCAGGGCACTGTCTTCTTATCTTAATTCTTCATCACTTCAATTTGCTTGTTAGGATTCATAGGCTGGCTGGCAGAAACTTATAGGAGGGTTCTGATTTCATCATTAAATGTTACAGCTTATAACGATTGATGAAGGGAAATGGTTTGACTATCTTCTGGGTTCAGTTTTGTTTTTGCTGCAAGCCAAAAACAATTCCTTCCCTTCTGACCTGAACATTCACAGCACGTTTTCATATTCCTGGGAGCTAATCACATTGTTTACTCTTATGGCACGGTGAAGGCCTTTGACATTAATAAGTGTTCACCGTTTCACAGACCAATCAGGTATGTGTTACCAGACAAACAACCATCTGTACACATCCTCCTGCCTCTAGCTTATGTTTAATTACGTTTGCTCTAATGCTTGCGCAAGCACTGGTGCAAGCAAGACTTTAAATGAGTGTCATGTTGCTTTTGTTTTAATAACAGGTGCAGAAATCCATCAATTATCTTCAGCCTTTAGAACGGCTTTCCCCCAATTTTATCCCACTATCAAAAATACGGAAATAAACAGATACAGTTTTTACAAAAAAGCTTATAGTTGATGCTAACCAAAAAATATGGCTTCATGCTCACGACCATCTTCCAGCAAGGCATCAATGGTATAACACTTCCCTTGCATAGAAGATCTTTCCTTAAGGTTCTGATCAGAGTCGAGTCCATTATTAACTAAATTAGCTTCTCCACGAGTTTTTCGTCAGAGAAACTACAATCATATCCTACCCTGCAGAGGTGAACATGGTCCTCATCTGTGTTTGACCTATTGCCCATACTTCTGTCCCCACCCCTTCCCCTTCTACTCAGAATAACGGCAGGTTTCCATTTGTTCTCACTCTCCAAGCCACCACTATCTGTATTGGAGACAACTTTTTCCCATTGTCGCTTTCTCAAGCAGGATAATGTCAACACTCACATCTTCCCCTCCCATCCGCAAGCAACATTCCGCAGGGACCACTCCATCTGCAGCATCGTGTTCCACTCCTCCTTCAGACTTAACATTTCATCAGTCACCTGCTACCCTTTCTTGTCTCCTTCCCATGCAATTATAAAAGGTGCAACAAATGCCAGTTCTCAATATTCCAGGCCTCAAAATCAACTTTCAGATTTAACAGTGGTTTATTTGTATTTCTCCCAATGGAGTTGACTATATTGCCTGTGCACAATGCGGTATTGTTTATTTTGTAAAACAAAATCTGGGTGACTGCTTTATGGGTTATCTCCACTTAGTCTCTAACAATGACCTCAACTTTCCAGATGCTTAACATTTCAATAAACCATCTTATTCTCATGCTTACATTTCCGTCTTTGGCCTGTTAGTGTTCCAAAGAAGTTTAGCACAAGCATTTTTTTTTTTCTGTTTTGGCACTTTAGAGTCTTTAGGCCGCACTATACTTTCCAATAAAGTCAGACCATGAAATCCGTTCTCCATTTTGACAAGCCCGGATCTGGTGTCTTGTTTTTGTTATGTTGGTTTTGCTCTCGGCAGAGTAGATTGATTCTTTCCTTGCCACACCTAGCATTTACGCCTACATTTTCATCCCTCCTTTAACACGATTAGTATACTTCCGATGTCTTTTGCTCTGGGGTCCCCACCATCTGCTCCACACGTTCATCTACCCCTCTGTCAACAGCATAAAACATCACAATACCCCAGCTCCTTTCAGATCTAAAGAACAGTGGTATTGGACTCGAAATGTTAACTCTTTCTCTCTCTCTCTCTCTCTCTCTCCCAGATACAACCAGCCCTGCAGAGCTTCTCCGGAATTCTCGGTTATTGTGCCAGATGTCCAACGTCTCAGTTTTTTTTTGCTTTTACTCTCCATATCTGCCCTGAATCAATGTTTTCATCCACAGAAACGTCACGTAATATTTATTTTGCAAAGCATCTCTTTACTCATAGCAAGTCTTATATCCAGAGACCCTCTTGTCTGATTCATTTATGGTCTGATCTGTGAAATAAAGTTGCATGTCGTATAAATAGCTGCAATTGAGTGGAAATATAAGCTGTTGTTAAATCTACAATCAATGTTCGTTTTGATTTTTTTGTTGAATGTCAATGGCTTTATTTTAATTTTACTGAATACAGGGTTTGTTTATTCATGTTTTTTTTTACTTGGTATGATGTTTTGCCCTTTTATTTTCCTTCTTTTGCATCTGTTTTCGTCTGCACTTTTACGACCTCTCTGAAAGTGTTACCCTGTGTAGGTCGGTGCCTTAAAATGTTGAAGCTATAATTACAGGTTTCAGCCACTAGATGGAGATCAAAACGTACAGCGAGTGATGATGTCACACCAGTTTTGGCGCCGAGCTGTAAAAAACAAAATGGCAAACAGAACCGACCACTTCACAGACCGAAGTTTCTTTAGGCTAGAAAGTAACATTTTAGTGTTTAGCACAGCATTTTGTTTCGGCCTCGAGGTTCTATAGGTACACGAACATCTTCCTTTGACTTCCAACGTTAGTAGTAACGATATAGTAAGCCTTTTTAACTACAGATTTTACTCATAAACCTACGAGGAGTCATTTTAAATTTAACTTTTACGGCAGTAAGCATACTAGAACTCCGTTTAGTTTATTGCTTCTTTCAAGAAAAAAGAGATGAAGAGATACTAGCTTGATAAGTCTTGAACTTTATGTCGAAATAAAGTAACGGTTCCTAACAGCAATTCAAATTGGAGTCGATACAGTGTGGAGCTCGAGAAACACAGCAGGTCAGGCAGCATCAGTGGAATAGGAGAGTCAACGTTTCAGGCATAGACCCTTCATCAGGACATTCAAGTTCAAGTTGGAGTTTGGTGCTCATGAAAACGGAATGTTAAGACCATAAGAAGTAGGAACAGGAGTAGGCTGTCCTGCACCTCAAGTCTGCTTTGCCATTCAGTAGGATCACAGATGATCCAACCGTCCTCACGTCCACTCTCCTGCCCTTTCCTTGTACTGTTGATTCCCCGACTGATCTCAGCCTTACATATACAAAAGGACTGTGTCCCCACAGCTCTCTGTGGCAAGGAGTTCCGAAGGCTCATCTCATCTCAGCCTTAAATTGTCGACACTGTAATCTGAGACTATGGTCTTTAATTCTAGACTCTACCATGAGGAGAAACATCCTCTTAGCATTTGTCCTGTCAAGCCAAGAAGAATCTTAAATATTTCGATGAGATAATCTCTCGTTCTTCTACGCTCAAATGAGTGCAATTATAACCTGTTCAGCCTTTGCTCATAAGACAATCCCTCTATACCAAGGAGCATCCATGTGAACAATCTCTGAACTTCCTCTAATAAAATGATAAAGTTCCTGAAATAAGGGGACAAATATTGTCATTGCTGTTGGTCACCGTTTGCTTTATGGTCCAGGACTGTCCATGCTTCAGTGAGCATTCTTTTATAACTATTTACTAGTCTTACTACTGCACTGCCACCATTATAGGACATGATAGCTGACGGTTGTCAATTATCTTGATGTGATGCTTATGTTATCCAATGTAACAGACTGTTATGATCCCAACTGCAATCTGGCTTGGTGGAGCATACTTTGATTTGTTTTTATTAATGATCTTTCAATGAAACACGTGCACACAATGCTGCATGTTTACTTTCAACAATAAAACAGAAGTTTATAACAAAAAGGAAATTAGGATAATGCAGAATGAAACAAAGTGTTTACATAGAACACGATTCAAAAGATTTCAGTGAAGTACAAATCCACATATCTCAACACCACTACTTTAGAGTAATAAAATCGCAGGGGGATTTCATTTTTCTACCAGATCAATAGATTTGAGCTTTCTTCCAAATTATAGTCTTGAGAATTTATTTTTTTTCCTTGACTACTGACACAACTGATGTTAGATTTCCTCAGTTTGTCATAAATTCTTCAGGGTTATAACAAGCACCTCTGATCTACAGATTTCAACCAAAGCGCAGGCACAGAGTGAACATATTTGCTAATCTTTCTAAACTAATTTTGTTCTCGACCTTTATCTACCTTTAGCCAGGATGCCTGCAAACTTAAACGGTTTTCAAGCTATGGGTTTCTTCTTCCCACAAAGAAAAATCATTTCCTTACTGTGCCAAATAAAAGTAAGCTAATGTTCTTAATGTTTACTTCCTCTGGTCTGCAAAGTCTCCCAATGCAAACAAATTACTTTCAGGAGTTTCTATCTTGTTAAGATTTAGAATAAAAAAGTGACTCTATAAATGCTGACAAGTTAATTGTTGGAGTGTTCGGTTATGTTTCATTAACTAATTCGATTGAGTGAATATGTGACAGAGTAAGTGAGTTTGTGGGGGCAATCTGTCTCTATGTGCATGCCTGCCTGAATGAGAACCCTAAGACTGGGAATAAGCTGTCCACACCTTCCCTTCCTTGTTCTCCGTCCCACTTCAAAACCTTTCCACAAAGTCAGGAGAAGGGACACCAGCCTGTTTGAAAACAACAAGCAAAAGGGATTCATTTGTTAGTTGCCGTCGCCTTGTACATTTTAATGGTTATTTTAAGCATTAATTCGTTTTATTAATTAATATTTTTTCAACTGTCAAATTATTACTTTATTGATTTTTTTTAAAATCATGCTTAAAATGCCAAAAATTTTCTTTCCGAAATTTGCTTTTTGTCCCTTCAGTGAGAAAAGTTTGATATCGGCCAATCATGAGAAACGGTTGATCAATTCTGGATTGAAACCGTTCATGACCCTTTTTTTAATCTTCACATCCATTTTTCTGCCTTAACGAAAACAGAGAAAACTCCCTTGGGCCGTCTACATCCCAGTAACCCCTTATCCATTCTTGCAAGTCTTTCTGGATCTTGGAGTGGGTTTTGAATCCTCAAGCTTTCAATTGTGCCCACGAGATGCTCCTGGCTGACAAAGTTAGCGAATAGATTTGCTGTCAGAAATTGTGCTTCAGACACGACATATGAGAGCAAAATTAAAATAAGGGAATAAACCAACATCCTTGCCGGTAGATTTACTGGTGCTGTTGGGTAGAGTTCAAACCAGTTTGGCAGGGAAAGGGGACACAGAGCGTTAATAGAATGGGGATGTAGCATAACTTAGTAAAGGAACCAAGACAGAGACGCTTCAGCAATGCTGACACACAAGACAGTACGGGAAGGCGAGATGGCCCTTAGCTTAAAGCATGTGTATTATAGGTAAAACGAATGAGTTAAGGACATGGATTGAGACATGGAATTATGAAATTGTTGTCATCATAATGATGAGGAGCAGGACTGGCAACTCAGCATTCTGAGGTATATGATCCTCAGACAAGACAGGGGAAGGTGTAAAAGAGGGGATTTGAGGAATTTTCTTTTCATCAACAGGGTGGAGAAGACATGACCTGGGAGGGTAATTGAAGTAGGAAACTTCACGATCGTTAAAATGTAACTTGATGAGCATGGGAAATGTTATGACATTCAAGGCTCTGGGCCAAGTGCTGGGATATATTCATACATTTAGAGTAGATTTTTGCTGATGCAGAAATGATGGGCTAAGGGGCCTCTCCCTGCTGTATGATTCTAGGAGGTGGTGTTGCATTATTAATTAAGGAGCCTGTTACTGTCGTAAGGAGGGACTGTAGTAAGGTACAAAAACAGAAGTTGCTGGAAAAGCTTAATTATGTTTACCTGAATCTAAAAAGAACCGCTAGACTCACTTTGTTAAATACGTTACGCATCAAATGGCGGTGTGTTTCCAGACGATTGGTTTGTAGGCTTCCAAGGCGGAATATGAGGTGCCTGCAACCTAATGGTCTCAATATGGACTTTACTAGCTTCAAAATCTCCCCACCCCCGACCTCATCCCAAGACCAGCGCCCCCCCTCATCCCGCCTCCTTGACCTGTCCGTCTTCTCTCCCACCTATCCGCTCCTCCCACCTCACTGACCAATCCCTATCCCCACTTCCTACCTACGCTCACCTTTACTCGCTTCATCCCCGCCTCTTCGACCTGTTTGTTTCCTCTCCACCTATCCTTTCCTCTATCCCTCTTCTATCCGCCTCCCACTCTCTCCCTATTTATTTCGGAACCCCCTTCCCCTCCCCCTTTTCTGATGAAGGGTCTAGGCCCGAAACGTCAGCCTCTCTGCTCCTATGATGCTGCTTGGCCTGCTGTGTTCATCCAGCCCTGCACCTTGTTGTCTCGGATTCTCCAGCATCTGCAGTTCCTACTATCTCTCCTTCAGAGTCCGGATACTTCAGCAAACATTTCATGTATTCTGGCCGAAAATAGGATGCTCTGTGGAACTCCATCTCGGCCAGGTTAGCCTGTCGCAAAGTGAATAAGGACCGGGCCTGAAAATGAACATAGCTCATGGTAAATTTTATGAGGTAACCGGCTAATGTCTACAGCCCGGCGATGTGTTACAAGTACAGCGAGGCAGGTCTCCATTCACACGTAAGATTTCTTCGCTGAAATTACACCCTCTTGTGGTGGTAATGAAAAAGGTCTGTTTCCTTTCTCCCGTTTACTCAATCTGTAATGGGCAGGAACTACTTTGCATCAAACAGTTTCTTCCATATCAAGTTTTGCTGTTTTAAGATGAGCTAAGTATAGTATCTAAGTATATACAGATCAAAATAAGAGAGTATATGAGATCTGGATATAAATTATTTCAATTCAGTGCGCTGCAACTGCCTTGAAGTATTCTGCACTGACTGTCCTCAAACCTGGAGTGCTGAAGAAAACAGTGAGAAGGATTTTGCACGGCCTTAGAGGGACATAGGCGGCTGTCTGGGCAGGAGGATACAGTTTACAAAAAAGAAGTCACAGGACATAATTTGATAGGAAAAAGGGGAGTTCACACACGCCTGATGATACAGGGAAACCTGAAAGACCATAAAGTCAGGACCATAAGAAATAGCAAAAGGAGTCGGTCGTTCGATTCCTCGACCTGCTCCGCCATTCAATAGGATCATGGCTGATCAGGCACTTCTCACGTCCACTTCCCTGAATATCCCCGTAACCTTTGATTCCGCTACTAATCAAGAATTTATCTAGCCAAGCCTTAAATATATAAAAGGACGCCGTCCCCACAGCAAGGAGTTTTAACACTCCACAACACTCTGAGAAAAGAAATTCGTCCTCATCTCAGTCTAAATTGGCGCCCTTAATTCTGAGACTCTGCCCTCTGTTTCCAGACTCTCCCCATGCGGCAACATCTTCTCAGCATTTATCCGGTCAAGCCCTTTAAGAATCCTATATGTTTCAAGATCACTGCTCATTCTCCGAAACTCCAATAAGTAGAGTCCCAACCCATTTCGTCTTTGCTGATAGGGGAGGCAATCCCTCCATGCCGGGGATCAAGAGAGAAACCGAAGGTTCACAATGTTACAGGTGGCAAGACTGGTAATCAAAAACAGTAATTAAAGTCCATTGTGCAGTGTGTGAATGGATCCAGAAGGCGTAAAAGTCAGATAGTTAAGGTAATCATTTAGAGCACATTATTTTCGATTAGTTTGAGTGCTGTGTCTAATGAGGACACCCTATTTTGTAAAGGATCTGACAGCTCTGGAAAGGGAACTAATCTGAATTACCACATAGGTACCAGGGGTGAAGAATGACGTATATTTGGAGAAAATGGATCATTTGTTTTCATTAAAGGAGAGGAAAGCTAAGAAAATGTTTTATAGAGACTGTAACATCATAAAGAAAATCCAGAAAGTAAAGAAAAACTCCTTCCAATGACCAGAAAAGACGGGTGATTCGTAAAAGAAACAGAGGTAACGAGTATTTTTTTTAAAGAATGAGTGGCTGGAAATTGTAATGCACGTCCTGATTTCGTGATCGATACAGCTCTAGCACTAATGTTCAAAAGGAAATTGAATAAATATTTGAAGGAGAGAGAAAAACGGTATGGATTATGAATAGCGCCGTGGAGCTATTTGAATTGCTCTTCCATGAGCTAGCTCATGTTCCATTGGCTGAGTGCTGACCTTCAGTGCATTATTGCGGTAGGATTCTATGATTTAATCAATTTAACTGATGGCATTATTTAGTTATTTGATTCCTATGTTTAAAAACAGAACACAATCTGAAAACAATAACTCAGGCACTGAAAAGGTACATGCTGGTGACGCGAGAAGAATTCCTGGAAACCAATCATCTCAGTGATGGAGACAAATAAATGAGAGAATGGAATGGGGTCCTTACAGGAAGCAGAGTGTGAAGATGTATAGCGCGAAATGTTTTGCATCAAATTACTCTTCATTAGAACTGACAGCAGGTCGGAAAAAGTGATATTTACTGCTTTCTCTACACAAATGCTATCAGACATGCTGAATTTCTGGAGCAATTTCTGTTTTTGAGCCTGCGTGCAGAAATAGCCAGACAAATTTAGGGCTTGGAGTGATATGCAATAAATAATTTTTGATGCACATAGTCATTGTCTGGCGCTATCTCAACAAGTGAGGATCAAATTACATGCTCTTGATTTTCAAGAGGATAGCCATTGAAATATACCTCAGTATCAGCATTCTGGAGGTCTGGTTTGACCACAAATTTAAGTGTACCAGCCATACGAGTATTGTGGCTAAAGAGCTAGGTCAAAGACAGAGAATATTCTGGAAACTTCTGTCATTACTTCCAAATTCATGTCACATGTCCGTACTATGGTGGCATACTCTGCAAATGCTTGGATGAGTCTCGCTACAACAGTGCTCAATATTATTCAAGACAAATCAGCTTGCATTATTTCTACACTATGCCCCATTACAAAAAAACATCATTGCCTCCAACTGGAAGACAGAAATCTACATGTGATCACCCTTGCAAAGCAAATTTTCCATTTGAAAATAGGAGATTTTGCACTTAAAAGTCCTACCAAACATAAATACCAGGCTCAAACATCCTACCAAACATGAGTAGCTGGCTTTCAGTACAAGTAGCAAAAATCCACTAGAAAATTAATTATCTTAGATTTTATAGAGTCAAACGGCATGGAAACAGAACCTTCAGTCCAACTGGTCCAAGACAATGAAATTTCCCAAACTAAACTAATCCCACCTGTAAAGCCAAGAAGTAAAACTAGCAACAAGAGTTTACCAGCTCAATGTTAAAGGCATATACTGAGCATGGTGTGTGCTATTCACAAAAGAGCTCTCTGACAGAAATATGGATATATTCACCTTGGAGGAAACCCAGCTAATGGCCTACACAATCCATCAAGCTCAAGTTCCAGGCTACCCACCAATTGCACACAAGGAAACCAGGACATATAACCTAGCCAGATGTATCAAGGAAAGAATCACTAAACAGACAGTAGGGCTAAAATCAAATGACTTCTGCATTATCTGCATTAAAGTAACTATTTGACTATCACAAATATCAACAAATCACCAAATGACTGTTGGCCTAATATCATTAGTCCCTGAGAATAAAGACTGACTTGCTTCCACTCAGGTATTCTGTGTCCTGAAGTGGCTAAACAATGTTATGTTGGACTGCCACAGATGTTTGAAGAGATGGGTGCTGGGATGCTCTGGTTATGGCATGCTTGTTTGCACTTGATCTCTATCTGAGTCTGTCAGAGATGCTAATAATGGTTGGCACCTTCACAAATGTTTTTTTTCTCCCTCCACTTTCGATGGTCTAAAGATTCCTGTGAGATAGTGGGGATATTACTTTTTTTTCAGGGAGGCTTTTAATGCATCCTTGAAGTATTTTCTCTGCCCTCCAGTTGATGTGAAAGCGCTCAGAGCCAAGAGCTTCTTTTGCAAATCTTGTGTCAAGCATGCAGGAAATGTAGCCCAAACAAACTAAATGATTGATAGGAATCAGTGCTTCAATACAGGGATGTTGACCTGAGAGAGGGCATGAATATTGGAGCACCTATTTTGCAGGTGGATTTTCAGCACTATGCATGAGCATTATCTGAGGAGAGATATATTGGCATTGGATGCAGTGCAAGGAAGGTTCACTGGGCTGATATCAGGTATGGAGGGATTGTCTTATGAGAAGAGTTTGAGCAGATTGGGTCTGTACTCTTTGGAATATAGAAGAATGAGAAATAACGTTATTGAACTGTACAAGATTCTTAGATGACTTGACAGGGGTTGTTTCTCCATATGTGAGAGTCTCAGACCAGAGGGCACATTCTCACAATAAGGGATCACACATTTAAAACAGAGATGAGAATGTTGAATTCTTTGCCACAGAGAGCTGCTGACCCTGGGTCATTATGTACATTCAAGCTGAGATAGACAGATTCTTAATAAGTATCATAATTTAGGGTTATGGAGGAAAGGCAGGAAAATGGAGTTGAGCATTATCAAATTAGCTGTGATCACATTGAATGACAAAGGAGACTTGATGAGCTGAATTCCATTCTACTCCTATGTCTTATGGTCTTATGGTGATATTTTCAAAGTTTTTGAGGTGTGTACTGCACATTGTCCATAGTTTTGGTCATACAGGAGAACAGGAACATTGCCGTGTTGTAGACCATGAAGTTGGTTTGAGATCTGTGTTACCAACATTCTTTCAAAAATCACACAAGCCTGCACTGTTAATGGCAATGTTAAATTTCATCATTGATATCTGCAACCACTCAGAGGAGACTCCTAGAATATGGAATTCATCCTCATAATCCAATGGTTGACCATGTATTTCGTTCATCAGGCAGCAGTGTTGTGCAATGTGGCCAGCCAGTTATAGACATTTTGTGCTCCTGTTCTGTAGTCTAAGGCCCACTTTTTCATTCTTCCTTTGCGAATGCATCAATGATTGCTTGGAGCTTGACCTCTCAGTGTACATCCACAAAGTTGTCATTTGCATTGTGCAGATGATAACCGGGGTTGGGAGGTCTTTATTCTGGAGTGGTTGTGATGCAGCTTGAACAGTTTCCCATTCAACTGGTTGAGAAAATCAAATTCAGCAGGGTCTTTCATGGACATGAGGGTGGGTTTTGTGGAAAGGATTTGGGAAATTTCTTAGACACCATAACACATCTATGCATGAGCCTGGTGTGCATATGTATTTGGTCTGTGGTGGATCCATTGGTGAGGATCATGGCTTGCAATTTTGCAATCCCAACAATCTACAAGGACAACTTCAAAAGCCAATGCATAAGTGGTGGAACCTCAACAACAACACGATGGGAGAACAATAGTGAAACTGGGTCTTAGTTGCATGACTTCAAACTTGTATACAATGCAAAGCAGCCTAGCACTTTCAATGATGTAAGTTGGAAAGACGAGGCACTTGAAAGTTTCTTCACAACAATGTTAGCAATGGTTAACCACTTATATGCTCTCACCAAGTGCTTCCAATCCTGCCACACTCCTAAATTGCTGAA